AATAACATACGTCTGAAATCTCAATATAACCAAATACTGCTAATACAAGGTAAATCCCTCAGAAACTGGTAAATACGGAGTCATGATATCTACATTGGAGTACAAGTTTGAAAAACTAAATAACAATACTGTTTGAACTGAAACAACAGTACATAAGAAAAGACAAGTAAAAATTGCAGCCAAGAATGCAGCTCTACCTCACCTCTCGAAGCTCAGTCCAACAAGCAAATCTACTGCTGATAATTGGTCCCCACACATGGATCTGCACAATTAAGTACAAAGTGTAGTATGAGTACAACCGACCCAATGTACTCAATAACTATCGTAAGTAAAACTGGCGAGGTAAAAGAAGCAAGAATTATAAATGATACCTGCTATAACCTGTACAGTTCATTAATCCAACAAGTAAATAATAGTAGTGTCATCAAGTATAAGGTACTGAAAAGACTATCTCTGTGTGTGTGTACGATTAGTCAAAATCTCAGTTCAGTTACTTGTACAACAAATAAGATGATATGCGGATAAATCAGATAGTAAACCATGGACCAACCAGACTTTCCTCAACCATTCAATATCGGTACCAAACCACTAATTAGTTTTACTAAATAATCACGTGTATACCATCAAAAGAGAAACATGAGAGGGTGACCCTAGGAGGATGGATCCAAATCCACACGCTGCACGGACAACTCACGTGCCACACGGACAACTCACGTGCTAATAGAATCAACCGCACGGATAACTAACGTGCTACATGAACAACTCACGTGCTAATAATATCAATAACTGGATCTACACGGGTAACTCACGTACCGCACGAACAACTCACGTGCTAATAATATCAACCGCATGGACAACTCACGTGCCAATAATGACAACCTGCCGACATGGCACATGCTACCAATCTAGTTTATAACACAGAAGAAGCAAATATGCGGGAAATATACATGTACATGATCAATGATTATCAATTTTCACACTCCTGGACCGGTATAAATAATTTGCTATAGTGTAGGCATGTGCAGTGTGTGCTATCACATCTAGATCAGACAATTTTCATCAAGAAATAGCAGTTTATCAGGTTCAATCGGAAGAACAACCTCAATGAAATCTCAACTATGGTACAAATAGCTCACATATGGGTACAAATAGGAGAAACATCTCAACTTGAAGCTTAGAAATCAATTCAAGGCATGTCATAGCCTAAGAACTACCCCGAGCATGTGAATAGTGCCCCGGTGCACGCATATGGGCTCAACCCCAAACATATGCGCCACTCATAGCACGTTGCAACAACAAAAACAACCCAGTGGAATCCCACAAGTGGGGTCTGGGCTCATAGCACGTAGCTATCAAAATAATTCAGACAACTAGTGCCTCAACCAAGTATAGATAAGATACTTACCTCAAGCAAGCCAAATCACTCTGCTAACAAGCCCTTCCCTCGCGTATCGACCTCCGGACAATTCGAATCTAGCCGAAATAATGCAATACCATCAACAAAATCCATAGGAAGTGATTTCAAAAGACAAAGCTATGATCTTTAACTCAAATCAAAAAGTCAACCCAAAGGTAAGCCCCAGGCCCGCACCTCGTAGCTCGAAAAAATTCACAAATTCTGAACACCCGTTCAATTACGAGTCCAACTGTCACGACCCAATTTCAACTATAGGTCGTGATGGCGCCCAACATCGCCATTAGGCAAGCTAACACTTAACTATCAATTCAATTATTCATTTTATTGTTTTTGAAATCATAAGTCTTACTAAGTAAAGAATTCAATGCATTTAAAAATTATGAATACTTAAAATATTAGTAAGATATTGATGAGCGCAAAACACACACTTAAATATGCTCGCTAGTCAAATATAGTATAATATAATATTATATCCCCAGGGATCGGATTTAAACAGTGTTCTTGTAGTTTCTAGTTGAATTGCTATCCAAGATGATCAACAGTTGAGATTTATATGATTAAGAACTAAAATTAACTAAGAATCTAAAGCTATTGACTAATGACAATCGACGCAAGTAATGAGCAAATAAGGTTGTCACTGGGAGAAGATAGGGTTTTGATAGGATAGCTGCAAGAAAAATGTTTGGGATCTATCTCTAGATAATTCACTCCTAATGTTCAAGTGAGTCTCTTGAATTCACTCAATTCTTAGTTCAAACGTTAGTAGAAACTCCTCTCTCGATTAAGTCTCAACCTCAAGAGATGAACCAAATTAAGCTCAGTGAAGATATGCAAGAATTTGTAGTGGATTGATATTTAGGATAACCTCTCTCGATTATCCTCCTAACTTGGTTTAATCAACAATTCAACTAGTCTCTTCCGATTACTAACTAGAATTAATGAAGCCAACCAACAATGTAATGCAAGATATTACAACTTATGCCTCTCTTGATTACATTAACAAGTGAATATAGATGCCACAATTAAATCATCCAAAATGACTAAATACATAATACTAGAGTATAATCCATAAAGAATCATCAATACACCAAATCCATCAGGCCCTAAAGAGAACTACTCCATAGACATGGAGTAATTCATCACAAATATGTTTAAAGTATAGAAAAACATAAAACGATCCAAACTTGTGTCTTGAGTGAGGATTGAATAATGAATTCCCTATGCTTTTGCTTCTCCAACTCCTCCTTAGGTATAAGATGTGTCAAAAGTCCATGAAATAATGTTTTTCCATATATTTATACCGAGTAGGGTCGGGCCCAGACAAAACCACCTTCTCCTAGCCAAGGATTTTCACTTTGTAAAAATTGCACAGGCGCGCCGCATGGGGCGACGCGCCACACAGGGTGCTTGTGGGGATTATCAGGAAGCTTTCAATTTCACTAGGCAGCACAAATGCACAGCCACGGTGCACCACGCGCCGTGGTAGTGCAAAATCCTCAGAGCTTCGCTTTTTGCTTGATTTTTGATATCCAGATGTGGTTCTAGACGCCCGAACACGATCCCGGCTTAATCCGTTGGGCTTTTACTTGGACTTCAAAGCTCCTAATAGCTCTAATCAACTCCATAACATCTGCATAGCTCAGAATCACTCCTACAAGGCATATAACACATAATAAGTGCAAAACGCTAGCGATTAAAGCTCAAACACAATTAAAGTAAGTGCAATTAGCAACGAAAATGCGCAATTATACCCTACCATCAACACCCCAAAATTAAACCATTGCTCGTCCTCGAGAAATCAAACTACCCTTTATATAGACACGACCTTTTTACACAACTCTCATAACTCATCTTACCAAGAATATCTAAAATAGATTAAGCACAATAGTGTAATATCTTCACCTCAAGATTTGACTCACCAGTACCACGCATTATTCACAACTCACTCACTTACTCTAACACAAAGGTTAATGAAATTACATTTCCTTCAGGAATCAAGTGCCGTCACACAACAATAGAGATTACTTTCACACACAATAAAATTTAAGAACAATTAGGAACTCAAGATAGAAAGAATCTACTCACTCTCAGAAACAACATTCATATGCCACAAAAGATGCACCATAGGCTTGCCCGTAGTTTACTACTCTTCTAATTGAGCTCATTCAGTCAAGGATCAAGTAGGACTTTATTTGGTTTTAATGTAAGCTACGGGACGGGTAGGATACATTTTGATATAAGAGTGACTACACCTCCCTAAGCACTTTTAATACATACACATTAACCGTTCAAAATCCCACACTTATGTTAACAAATAACTCCACCTTCATATTAATATACATTAACTCCCTACTTCTTTAAGCACAATTATATCAAGAGTTACCACTTCTCAAGGAATTCTTTTCACAACAATACACTATTTTTCTTCTTTTTCAATTCAAGTGGCTCTTACTTTTCAATAAATTGCACCTTTCTCCTTATTTTATCAGTTCCACTCAAAAGCCAAACCAAACACCCCACACTTCAACTTTTACAAAGTTCATACAAATTCAAGTGCTTACGAGAGGTAAAGGGTTCAAATAGATGGTTTTAATTCAAACAAATGGGTAAGGCTCGTAATGTGGTTGCCAAAGAAACGATATTGCAGGCTCAAAAGGGGTTAACTAAGATTCATAACAGTTAGGTGGGTAAAAACATACATCTGGCTCAAAAAAGAATTGCCTATATCACTTCCAAGACCGAATAAAACTATTATTTCGATTTACAAAATACACGGGGCAAATACTAGATGTCAAATGCAATGCACAGAACAATACCAAACCTCACACGCACATGACACATAACTCACATAGGACTGGACTCATCAAGACACTCTAGTCAAAGCAGTTAAACAAAGTTATGATCATACAATTTAAGGTACTTATACAAGAGTAAAAAACTGATCCTAAGCGTCACAACTAAAGCACTCACTATTCTCAAGGTATAACAAAGTCAAGAAATATTGCCTTATGTTCAAACCATAGCACAAAGTTTTCTACTCTTAACAGAAATAAAAACTAACTACACTCGGTTCAAACAAAACCCTTGGAAAAGAACCGCGACACAAAGAAAAATCAAGGGTGAATTATTACACTACCTAACAAAAGAAAATCTTTTTGGTATTTTTCCTTCTACTTTAATCCCTCAAGAAACTTGTCGATATGATATCCATCGTCGGGAAAAATCAAACAATTCTCCAATTTTTATGGTTTTTTCAATTTTTTTCTATCTATAACTACTACAACAAACAAAAAGAAAAATGAAACTAATATACATACATACAAAAAAATATCCCCCACCCACACTATAAGTTGTGGCATGTCCCCATGACACACAATTAAAAAGAATAAGGTAAAAGAACTTACCTGAATATCTAGTCGAGGTCTGAGTCGAAGTCGGGCTCCACTCCATGCCTCTGAAGCAGTGCACACATCCATGCAGACAGCTTCTTCTTAGCCTTCTTGGGGTACACCCCACACTTATCTTTCACTGCATCCTTTTCTTTCGAGCCCTTTACTTTCCACTTAACACTTTCAGCTGGTTTCTACTTTCTCACCCCAGCTGCTACGTTCATCTTAAAAGTTACAGTCTCCTCACCCACTCGACGCATGAGCTTTCTCTCGTGTATATCTAATATAGCTCTACCCGTTGCTAAGAATAATTTTCCTAGGGTTAAGGGGACCTCCTTGTTTTTCTCCATATTCACCACTATGAAATCTACTGGAAATACGAACTTATCTACCCGAACTAAAACATCTTTACTATCCCCTCGGGTATCAAAGTCGTTTGGTCGGCCAGCTGCAAAGATATTGGTGCTGACCTTTTCTCTGCAATCATATTCTCCAGTTTCCTGTAAATAGACAAGGGCATTAAGTTAATTACGGCACCAGAATCACGTAAAGACTTATCAAAATTAATAGTGCCTAAAGAGCAAGGTATAGTAAAACTCGCTGGATCTCCACACTTTTGTGGGAGTTTGTTTTGCAAAATTGCACTGCAATGCTCTGTGAGCTTGACCACTGAGGTCTCCTCTATCTTCCTTTTCTTTGTCAGGATCTCCTTCAAGAATTTGGCATTAGCTGGCATTTGTGAGAGCGCTTCTGTGAATGGTAAATTTACATGAACCTATTTCAGCATATCCAGAAATCTCTTAAACTACTTGTCCAGCTTTTCTCTATATAGCTTTTGGGGGAAAGGTAAAGCAGGCATGTGCTTGCTCTCTTCATGTTCCTCCCTTCTTGAATTCTCTTCCTTCTTCTTTTTGTCAGCTCCCTTTCTTGCCTTTCTTCTTCTTATCAACATCAATTTTCACCTGCTCCCCACTTTCTTTTTCATGTTCCACATCTTTTTGGATTGGGGTAAGATCATTCAACACTTGCCCACTTATCAAGGTTACAACATTAACTGTTTCTTTGGGGTTTCTCTCAGTATCAGCGGGAAGAGTACCTGGAATTCTCTCAGATAATGATGTTGCTAGCTGCCCAACCTGTCTTTCTAGGTTTCGAAAACCAATGCCCAGTTCTTTTGATAGTTGAGCTGTGAGCTTCATGTCTCTCATTAGTTTTTATAATGAAGGCCTTCATGAGATCTTCCATACCAGGCTGATTGGACTGTTGAGGCTGAAACTATAGCCTCGGCTGATTTACACAAGCCGGAGCTCCTTAGTCCTAAAATCTGGGGTTGTTCTCTTGTCATGCATTTGCAGTACCCCCAGGTGAACTCCATGAAACATCGGGGTGCTTTTGACCTATTGCTTTAAAGTTGTAATTTCCAGAGCATTCACTTTGAAGCTCATGAGTAGGGCGTCCTTTTCCATATATAACACAAGCTGCATGAGGTTCGCTTTGTATTGAGGCTAAGGTCGGCTTCCGTATTTCTTTGGCCATGGCATCAAGATGTACCTGCACAAATATGTTAGCATCAACCTGGCGAAAACCAATCGATCTTCTTCTTTCAGCACTCTCAGAGGGCCACAAATTTGCATCTTCAGACAACTCATCAAGAATTGTACCTATCTCCTCTGGAGTCTTCTTCATCCACGGTCCTCCAGCTGCATTGCTCAATGTTCTACGCGAGGCCGGTATATATCCATCCCAAAAATCCTGGAGTTGCATCAAGAGTTCAATTCCGCTATGTTGACACTTTATAACTATCTCCTTAAACCTCTCCCAAGCGCCAAACACAATTTAAGTCTCTTTCTGGCAGAAGTTATGGATTTCTCTTCTAAACTTGCCGTTTTAGCTGATGAGCAATATTTATCAATAAAATATTTGGTCATCTCATCCCATGTTATAATCGATCCCGTGGGAAAGCATCGAAGCCATTGCTTTGCGTCATCTCTGAGTTTGAAGGGGAATGCCTTGAAGTAAATTGCATCTTGTGACACACCATTGTATTGAAAGGTGTTCAAAATCTCCGCGATGTCCGTTAGATGGTTGTTTGGATCTTCATTCATCTTCCCTTTGAAGATACAACCGTTTTGAAGGGTTTGAAGAAACCCTTGCTTCAACTGGAAGTTGTTAGCTGCAACTGGAGGTGGTCTAATACTTGATAATCCTTGGTTGTAGATCGGTCTAGCATAATCGCCAAGTGGTCTCCCAGCACCAAGAGCTATATTTTTCAACTGGGTTACAATCAAGGGTTGATTCTGTGCAATTCTCCAAGCCCTCTCCTCTTCATTGATAATCTGTGCATCTCTAATCACTGCTTCCTCAGCATCCCGTGCAATTTTTTCTCGTTGTTGGGCTGCCTCTCTAGCAGCCAAATCCACATTATCATCATCATCACCGATTCCAGCCGTAGTTTCTTTGGTTGAGGATTTCCGAACGTTCTCTAACGTCTCGATGAGATTTCTTTCCTTCCTCAGCTATCACAATTGTTTTTCTATTTCTGGCTCGTATGGTTTCACTTCTTTCCCAGAAGATCGAGTCATGCACCAATCTAAACCAGTAGCCTGCGCACAGTCAACGAACACCAACCGTAAAAAGAGAAAACAAAACAAAGAAGAAAAATTTCATGAATTAGCACTACAAACTCTTTCAAACGCTATTGATTGCAGAACCACGACGACGACACCAAAATTTGACGAGCGCAAAGCACATAGTATAAAATAATATCGTATCCATAGGGATTGGATTTAAACAACGTTCTTGTAGTTTCTAGCTGGATTGCTATCCGAGATGATCAACAGTTGAGATTTATATGATTAACAACTTAAATTAACTAAGAATCTAAAGCTATTGACTAATGACAATCGATGCAAGTAATGAGCAAAGAAGGTTGTCACTGGGAGAAGATAGGGTTTTGATAGGATAGGTGCAAGACAAATGTTTGGGATCTAAGTCTAGATAATTCACTTCTAATGTTCAAGTGGGTCTCTCGAATTCACTCAATTATTAGTTCAAATGTTAGTAGAAACTCCTCTCTCGATTGTGTCTCAATCTCATGATATGAACATAATTAAGCTCAGTGAAGATATGCAAGAATTCGTAGTGGATTGGTCTTTAGGATAACCTCTCTCGATTATCCTCCAAACTAGGTTTAATCAACAATTCAACTATCCTCTTCCGATTACTAACAAGAATTACTGAAGTCAACAAACAAAGTAATGCAAAGATATCACAAGTTATGCCTCTCTCTCGATTACAATAACAAGTGAATATAGATGCCACGATTAAATCATCCAAAACCATTCAATACATAAAACTAGAGTTATAATCCAAAAAGAATCATCAATACACCAAATCCATAAAACCATAAAGAGAACTACTCCATAGACATGGAGTAATTCATCACAAATATGTTTAAAGTATAGAAAACATAAAACAATCCAAACTCGTGTCTTGAGTAAGGATTGAATGATTAATTCCTTGTGCTTTTGCTTCTCTAGCTCCTCCTTAGCTGGTCTAAGATGGGTAAAAAGTCCATGAGATAACGTTTTTCCATGTATTTATACCGAGTAGGGTCGGGCCCAAACGAAACCACCTTCTCCTTGCCGAAATAGGATTTTCACTCTATAAAAATTACACAGGCGTGCCGTATGGGGCGACGCGCCATAGAGGGTGCTTGTGAGGATTATTAGGAAGCTTGCAATTTCACCAGGCAGCACAAATGCACAGCCACGGTGCACCATGCGCCGCCCCACGCGCCGTGGCTGTGCAAACTCCTCATAGCTTCACTTTTTGCCTTATTTTTGATATCCAGATGTGGTTCTAGACCCCCGAACACGATCCTGGCTTAATCCGTTGGGCTTTTACTCAGACTTCAAAGCTCCAAATAGTTTGAATCGACTCTATAACATCTACATAGCTCAGAATCACTCCTACAAGGCATACAACACACAATAAGTGCAAAACACTAGTGATTAATGCTCAAACACAATTAAAGTGTAGTGAATTAGAGTGCAATAAGCGACAAAAATGCGCAATTATAGCCTACCATCATATATAAAATGAAAGATGACAATATCAAGTCGAACCATAAACAACCACTATCGTATCCCAAAACCTGGTGTCACAAGTGCATGATCATTTACTAAGGAGTACAATAATAAAACATCTATCTGGAATATAAAATAGATAGGATAAAGTAAATAAATAAGATGGAGACTCTGTGGGCTGCCACACATAGCATAGAATGCAGTTCACCATAAAGTCTCCTCAATAGCTGCGCCTACGCGCCAAGATGACCATCAAATGAACCTGACAGATCCTGCACATTTTGTGCAGTAGTGTAGAATGAGTACGTAAATCAACACGTTCCCTGTAAATATCTGGCCTAACCTTGGAGAAGTAGTGACGAGGGATCGACATTGACACTTACTAGTGGTCCAATAAATAAGATGCAGGAACCATAAGCAGGCATGAAATTTCCATATAGAACATGCCATCTCAACAAATACGAATCGTCAAATAAATATCCTATCTCCAGTCACAAGGGAATATCATGAAATTTCCAAGTCCCCAATCAAAGGGTAATCTCGTGGGTATTCGGACTCCTAGCGATTAACGCACGAATTATGCCGAGGTCGTTCGGCATGATACATATAGTCGTGTACATACATTGCCAAGGTCGTATGGCCCGATCCATGGATGCATCTCAGATATACATATATTGTCGACGTGTTCGGCCCGATCCCGGGAAGAGAATAAACTTATCGAACTACAGGCCACGTGTTTGCAATATATAAACGAGAACGTAAAGTAATCATGACCTTTTACTAATTTTTGAAAATCTTGCCAACAACTCAAGGTAATGAGATTCGATCTAACATGATCTCTAATCACATTTCATTTATAAGTCTTTTGGTAATTAAACTAACAAGTTGAATTGAGATAATACAAATGTTGCATGATGAAGTCCTAATTCTACCGGACATCGCTAACATCAACATCCACTTCAAACCAAACTTAGAAATTTCAAAAACCTTCAAAATGCCAACTTTCCACAATAAGCGCGGAAATTCTCCCAGACCACCCGATACTCAACCTGAACATACACCCAAATCCGAAATCATTATACGAACCTATTGGAACCTTCAAATTCCGATTCTGAGGTTGTTTACTCAAAAGTCAAACCTTGGTCAACTCTTCCAACTTAAAGCTTTTGAATTGAGAATTTTCCATCCGAATCAACTGCGAACTTCCCAAAATTCAATTCCAACTACACATACAAGTTATAAAGCATGAAGTGAAGCTACTAAAGGACTCAAACCTCCGAACGATGCGCTATAGCTAAAAACGACCGGTCGTCGTTACATTCTCCCCCACTTAAACATACGTTCATCCTCGAATGTGCCAAGCACCGCTCCACAATTGCCCAAAACCACTGTTTAACACATTAAGAACCTACTCGTGCCACCACAACCCATGTGAGCACATTAGCTCGAGCTAGATTTAGGATCATTCCTTTTACCTTAGCACACAAGCCTTAGAACCAAATTCAAACATTCGGAGTTCTCCATGAGACCTAATTCTAACATACGATCACTGAATCAATCTCAACCCGCTGTACCTAATATAGTCATGCACCCATGCTGAAACCACACAATGCACTGCATAATTCGTATGCCCATAATAACATCCTCCAACTGTAGGAGATGCAAATTCACTAACCTGATGCCCGTAGTATACCTTATAATGCGCATAAGCCCTGCTCCGACCCTCATGATACTACAATGACGAAAACAACCTGTAGAAGCTCATAACCGCTTGCCAAATCTATAAATCATGGAGTCTCCCCGCTTGAAAAGAACCATTACCTTATTCTGAACTGAATAGTGACATTTTCTCTTTAATATACCTTACATAAATCCGATCGAATTGATCTCAGGACCAATAACCTCGTCTTAGCCAGTACAAGCTGCTCGGGCAATAAACCACCTCAAGCACCATCTAAAATCTCATACGGCACCACTAATGCGCCAACAAGAAACAACTCGAATATGACCCATAAGGAAGAACGAACTCTGGCAAGGAACTACCCAGCCCGTATAACGAATAAAACGGCCGAACAGATGCTATAAACCTATCTCAGAGATGAGAAACAAGG